AGATTCATCAAGCAAAGTAAAGTTTTACAGTGTAAAATAAAGTATATGTTGATAATGGATTATAAAGGCAGGGGGAAATGATAGTGGTATGATAGATATGGACGTAGTTGAAGATTGTCAGAAAAGAGTATCTACCGTCTTCCTCGCTATCCTCTTCGGCTGTTTTCTCCATCCGTTCCTGGTCGTTAGACTGTTTAGGCAGAGGCGCAGGTTTCAGGATTTCCGCCGGCTTCAGGGGGTTTCGGGAGGGAGCGAGGAGAAGGCCGGCATCCGCGGTGGTGGAAACATTCATCTGTGCCGCTCCGGTACCTGCCAGGCAACATGGAACAGAATTAGCGCCACCTTGTGTGCTTGTTTGGAAGTGCAAGCCCAAAGCTTCATGGAACAAGCTAACTATGTATAACTGTGGAAAAGGTCATTTTCTCGCATTCTAGACGTTTCGTCTGCTCATGTTGATGATAAAGAAAACAAACGTGTGAAATGTGGTATGACATAACTAAATTGACAGGCATTTGATAATGATCTGATTTCACGTAATATTTCTTGCCAGAAATGTCACCTAGCCTTTGATATACGACACATGTGTGGGAGAGTTGGAGTACACTGATACGGTTATCGTAAACTTCCATGTTGGAACGACACAGATTCTTCATTCGTCTTCATTCGAACTTGACATTTAAGTACAGACAGAGTTACACCACTCAGACGACTGACATCGCAAACTAATAAAAATCTCATTTATTTTCACAAAAGGTTCTAATAAGGCCTTATTAGAACCCATGACTTCTCGCACTGGCCCAGACACAAGCAAATTACAATTTGTTAAGCGGTTCCTGTTCTAAAGAGCGCGCAGATGTAATGTAGTAGGATTAGTTACTCGGCGGTGTGACATGTTGAACAAGTGCGGAGTACAGTCGGACATCTTAGGGCCGCGAGCAAAGATAGGGAGCGATAACCTGCCTCGACCTTGACACAGAGAAGGAGACGTCCTAACCGGGTTAATGTTTATCTACCAGCAAATGGATTACGCCGTGTTATTTCATCATCATTTGGTGCCGGAGGGGTGGTATTTATTGAGAAGACTTGTAACGGCTTGGCCGACCTTTTTTGACAAACTCTTGGCATGATTTTTGATCTTGGCATTTAATCTTACTTTGATCGAATTGGTTTATAATTCCAAAGAACTGGATATTAGTTAATTCTATTAAATAATTAGTTGTTATATATGTTCGTTGTAACGCTGGTATAAAATACCACAAATTTGTGATTTTCGGCCGATGGACTAAAAATATGTACAAACGTCCATCCCAGTATGTTAACAGGTTGCCATAGTGAGAGGTAGTAAAAAGCTTTAAAATAATACAAAAATGAGAGTACTAGTATCACATGGTAGATCAATTTTGTTTTTAGCTTTGAAATTCCCGTTTTTATGTGCTTTTGTCATGCAAAACAAGTTCGCACAGTTTTAACTCGAACGCTCTGGCACACTAAGTGTGACTAATGCTGTTTATGCGCGAGTACAGTGCCAGGGGATCAAACCGTAGCCCAAAATAGCTCACTCCTTCAGGAAAGTTTGTCGAACCGTGGACAGGTCTGCACCGCCGGCTACTTCACCTGTAAGGCACGCCGTCCTGATATGTCCCCCAATGTCCCCCAAGGTCAGACACTTGCCCGGAGAAGGCGACAGTCGGTGGTCCCCGAACAGGGTGGCATCAATCACGCGAGATCACGCGGGATTACCCGAGATCCCCCGAGATCTCCCGTTCTTGTTTATTTTGATGCGTTTCAACAATGCTGTCGTTCCGTGGATTAGACAAAGTTATCCCCGTTCTCAGGAGTCAACAGGTCGCGATTGTTCAGTCTCCTTCTTTGTTGTATTCTCTACTTCATGCTATTGTGAAAACATGGAGCGATAGAAAACGCGATTTTGTGTACCCTTTCCTGCTATAGCTCCCTCACAGTACACATATCATGTTTTCTCATACCAGAAACCTTTTTGTGATAAAAACAATGTGAAATAGTTATAATTTGAGTCATCCAGTCGTTTAAATGAGCTCCTATTCGGAGTAGTAGTGGCATTGGGTTCATGCAATCGGTAAAAACTGAAAAATACTGTCTACTGGTATCTTCCGTTTTGTATGTGTCCTTGCAAAAGATTTGACGTAGTATAGATCATTCATACCATTGGCATTGTATTTTCTTTTTCCATACATGTTGTTTGTACCTGCAATTATCCCTTTGGGCATGTTTTGCAATAAACTTCTCTTTGAACTTTCCCCCTCCTTTTCTAAAAACAATAGAAATATACATACTGACTACCGAGGGAGGCATCAAGATACTGATAATAAATTCGTATGGGTGATGATAACATTCTGGCAATTTTTAATAGACTCTATGGTATCAACTTGTCACATTGTAGACAATGGAGACTTTGCCTATAGCGCTGGTGTTATGGGTTCGACTCGCTATATTTGCACTCATTTGTCCGTCTAATAGTCTGATCATATCTTTTAGTGTGCGTAGATCCTGACGAACGACATGACATATCTGACATATTCAGCATTGGCAGATCATATGGTGTCAGCAGCTGGGTATGGCGGAATGTGCGGTAATTTGTGGCCATTATGACAACCTTCACACAGCACAGTACCGGTTAGTGAGTCAGACCATGTACCAGCAGACAGTACATGTATTCACAATACACAGACTATCAGATTCTATTCCAGCATTTACCACAATGAACTTAAAAAGCAAATGCAAATACATAATGACTTGTGACCACCCCTGCATGCTATACACGGATATATATATATCAAATATGTATATTAAAGACTGCATAGAAATTAGAAACTCCTCCAATTATTGTAAAAGTCCATACCTATCCCATACTAGCCACCCACTTTTGTACGGTAGTTATAGGGTAAGCATTATGAAAATGTAGTTAATGTGTACTTAGTAGATGCCATACTTTGTACCCTGTTCCACTATTGTCCAACTTAGTAAAGTTATCTTTATCTTGTATGGTGGCGCACATTTACAAAGACTCTTGTGCCCCCCTCCCCCTCCAAACGTCTTCCACTAGGAATTTTCCGACCATGATCGGCTTCACTCGCTTACAGCCAAAGCTTGCTTAAGTTTCTTGACAACAAAGCAAATCTACCGTCCGCCGAAGCCTGTTGGAAACAGTTGCACTAGTCTTGTTGCATACAAATGAACCCCCACCCTCAACTCCCCCGGCGCTTCTACCAAAAGGTCAAGTCAATCTATCAGCCGATCAACATTCAGGAGGAAATGGATACTTTGGGAAAGATTTGCGGCTGGAACGCCGAAAAATAACAATCACCGTCGTGTCATTAGCTGTTTGACAACGCTACTTAACCCACAGATGGTCCTTTTAGCGACTCGGCAACAGTGATACATAACCGTGACTGTGTTTGGAGCGTATCTAAGGATACCACATGCCTACTTGGAAGTGTTACACCAAAGGTGGTTGCGCAATTTCCCCTCTTCTCTCTCACATGTCACTCTCACTCGGGACGTTGATGTTTCAGATTAGACATGAGTAAACTGGCGGGTACTTGACACTCCATCTGAAGGTGACCCCACTTGAATGTCAGACGAGAGCAATTGGAATTTTGATTCTGCGACTGTAAACCTTTCCCCTCTTTCAGACTTCTTATTTTCTCGCAAAAGTTCGCAGTCGTGACTGGGCAAGACTTGGCACATGTAGCTAACTAACTTCTGAGTGGTCTAGCATAAAGTCAGTGGGGATATGCCCAGTGTCATCGTTTGTATATGTTTTATCATCACGACATACATACATATAGTGCTAGTCTGTTAGAACATATACAGCGAGTAGCAATGTTTAGTTGGAGCCATGGAGAGCGAAACAGTGTGAGAATGAAAAGGGCGAGGCGAACACAAAGAGAGCTGCCTTTTTTCTGACTTTCAAGTGCCACTGAATGATTGTCATGACTCATGATACTATTGAAGAACTAGAGTTCCACGATCTCATACCTTCGCCAAATGATGTTAGCCTTTATGAATAAGAAATATACTAATCAACCTGATTATGCAAATAGGATCCTCAATTGCATGAATTATATCAGTCTGTTGATCATATTCTCCACCAAAAGACAGTCTTATCTTAACAAAGAATGCCATTTTCCCCTAAATTATGCAAATGTGGTCCTTATTTAAATAAGTTATGTTTAATTATGTTCACCTTCACTTAACTTTCAAACACCCCAAGTATGAAATTCCAGGCAGTTACCACTATGCAATTATAACATTTTCTCATTAATTATGCAAATTAAGTCTTCATTTGCATAATCGATATTTGCCTGTGTTTCTCCCGTTCTTAATAACATATGTTACAAGCTTGAACTTCCTATCATGGAATGCAGCTGATTTATAGAATTTCCTCATTAATTATGCAAATTACATCAATATTTGCATAATTGTAATATCATTATGTCAAGCATCACTTAAGCTACCTACATACCAAAAATCACGATGATCCATCAATCGGTTCTTGAGTTATCCTCTTTTAAACATTTGTCCTTTAAACCCCCCTGCAGTTCTAGAGCAAGCAACTAGGGGGCTCATACTCATGTCACTTCATCCCCAGCACAAGAGCTATCTACCATCTAAATTTCGTCACCCTAGCATGACTGGATCATGAGATATCAAAACTGGAAGTTCTGCTGCAGTACCATGACAAGCCGCCAGGTGGCCCAAAATCTAATCATTTTGAGGTCTCATCAAGACCTACCCACCTACCAAATATCAAGTCAGTCCATTTAAGCCTTCTCAAGTTATCGTGTTGACAGACACACACACACACACACACATACACGAACGCCTCTGAAAACATAACCTTCTTGGCGAAGGTAATAAGTCTCGTATTCTTGGATTCACCCCAAACCCTGTAGTTATACAGGATACCGCGTAACTAGAGGTTAACATGACTGTAGACTTCCTATTCACACGTTCCCGCCACTGCTGCACAGGTCGTGGCGTTGCCAAAACAAGGAACGATCAAATCCCCACCCACCGGTGCCAACACATTACTCACACGGGTGATCTTCCGTGGGGGCGTTTCAAATCAAGAACAAGTTCAATATTACTGAATTAACGGTCTAGGAAAACAAATTTTCCCCCTTCCTTCAGTCTAGTAGGTTATCGACTTGCGATAAGTGCGGTTATCTCGGCTCAATGCCTGATTCCGTATCTCTGTGCCAGAATTCACAAAAGTCCGGTAGAATCTGATGTTGTGTGGCTTATTTATGCTTTCCAAGAAGCTCATGTTTTTATGTGCTGCTCTATAGGGATTTAAATGTCTAATTCAGAAACCACACTCATAACACATCTAGTGTTTTTGTGGGCCACCTGCGAACTTTGTAGACGGAAACCGGGGTTATCTGAGGTTATTGACAAAAGCGAGAACTTTACACAGAAGTTAATCCTCCGCTACAGAGTTTATTCAGTTGTAGTACAGCCGCTAAAATGAACAAAAACAAACCGGCAGCCCACCTTGGTAGATTTTCATACCGTTTAGCAGTTAAGATAAACCAATTAAACAAACTTTGAAAGGTTACATGTGAGAGAAGCAGCTAGCAAAACAAACAATTTGGTGCAGCGAGACTTGAGCGTGATTGACTGAACAGTCAAAATAAATTCAGAAATGTCTTCAACATTAGCAAATAAAACAGACAAAGAAAAACCTTTATCTTCTTTGTTTATCTTTGAATTGAGGTGATCGCTCTTTATTCTTTAAGTGATTTGTTTATTGTTTTAATTTCATTGTTAATTAGAGATGAAATATAAAATGTCCAGAATTGTACACTATCGGAATTAGCACACGTGCACGTACAGATGAATTCCCTTTACAAAAACAACGTAAAGTGATGTACATTTATATACTACTGATTGGTAGTATTTATCCTGATTATATACTAATGATTCAAATGTAAGCTTAACTTCTATGTAGAGAAATTACAAAAGGCACGCCAACTTGTAAAACTAAAGAAACTCCCCCTACCTTCCGGACAGGTACTGCAGCACTGCTTGGGACTGATGACAGGGTTCGGACATGTCAGTATGGGGCATTCCTTCTTGATGTTCTTACAAGAAACACGGCCGTCAACTTTTCCTTTTCTTGACGTCTGCAGATTTAGAAAAGATACAGAAATTGGGTTATCATGTACCCAGTTTTATAGTTGATCATTGAAAATACTAGTAACTGTGTATAACAAGCGTAATATTTTATAAACATAATGCAGTGGTCATTTTGAATTGTGTATAGTATATGTAGTGTATTATGCGAATGAAAGCATTTCTTGTATATAAGCCGTTTGAGGCACAACATAGTGTACCTATAACTTTTTGCGAGATGTAGAATATTTTTACAAATGTTTGTAATCTTTATCAACAATAGGCTGTACATTTGTATATGAGCGTTTTTGAGGTAGCTGAGCAAAGACCAACTTTGCGTCTTAATTCATAGCAGTTTTCTTGATGCAGACTTAACTCTTGGTAAGACTTTGCGTCAATAGCCACTACTGCCAAGACTGGAGGATGATCTGTGAGGTTAGCCTCTAACAGGCTTCAGGAGGTAGCTGGAAGAGTAGAAATCGGCCAAATAGAGAGAGAACATGCCAGGGGAGTTGGTCCGATATATAGTACAGTTTTCAGATGCGGCAAACTGTACTCTGTAGCGGACCAACTCCCCTGCCTGGCATGTTATCTCTCTATTTGGCAGATTTCTGCTTGTTCCAGTCGCCTTCCGAAGCCTGGTAGAGGCTAATGTGAGGTATACATGTCAGCAGCTTGTCAATTGTGTCACAGCTGTGATAAATAATCCGGACAAAATAGCCCATCTGAAAATAACCCCCGCGGACCGGGTACAGATGCGGCGTGTCGTGAGCCGGACGCCGTGATTAACCCTGACAGGGCGCGCGGCGCATCAATGGACCCGATTAATTAGAGCCATTATTACAAGAAATAAAGGTGTCAGAGATCTATGACACCCTGTCAGTGGGCCAAATACGGGATTTAAATTACGGGTACGTACCCCAAGGCCTAAGGTGGCCGCAGAATGTTGACCATATCTCAACTGCCTTCATTGTGGCACAGTTTGCTATTCTAAATTAGAACTTGATGTACAGTGTGCCTATAATACGTACAGCAACAAATTCGCTCAATCAATGAAATAATTTGTGAGAAATTCAATAGACTCGGTTACCAGGCGCGCCCTAGGCGACCACCCTCCCCGCTTACCACACACATACATGCAGCAAAGGCCGCGACAAAGCCTGGTAATCGAGGTCGAGATTTTTAACGCTGAAACAGTGGGGTACTTGTCGCTCTCTTTGAATGCGTAGCTTACAAAGTATACTATTTATGCAAAAACGGTTTCCAACTGCAGAAACTATTTGGTTGAATAATTAAATTACATTTGCTTTCACGCCTTCTCAAGTGTGAAGTTAATGATATGCATAAACAATGGAAACGATTCATTATGTTTAAGAGTGTGATTTGAATGGAAAAGAAAGAAATCCCCGGCTTTTGTTTTGAGCTTGACAATACACGTTACACCGGTGACCGCCAGCATTCAAGACCATCTCCACACATACGACTGAATACACACTTTTGTTTTCAAGAGCGAAATGACCAAAAATAGGGCTGCTCGAAAGAACATGAATATTCATAGTAATTTATCAACTTCGCCAACGACAAATACGCCGGTTTCTTAAACAGAAGTGACAGGATCCGCAAAGTCCAAGGCTGAATGGACGTTGTCGACGAGCAAATAGTTTTGGGTAAAGACAAAGGGAGTGCAAGATTCCATACATTCATTTGGAATACACATTGGTACGCTAGAGGTACTACCTACTCAGAGGGTACTACAAAACACTTGTTTTCGCCAACGATATTCTAAAATAAACCATTCCTATGACGATTGTTGCATTGGGTTAATAGGATTCAACAAAAGAAAAGTCAGACTTGCTTCGCAAAATTGATAATAACGTAGGACAATATACTTTGCACTCTCTATGCAAATGTATCTAAAAATGATTTCTAGATCTTTTTATCAATATTGCCTTTGGTCAAAACTTAGATTTGCGGATGACCCGATTGCTAATTATGTATTTGCGTGCACTTAGTGCTACAAGGATCGCACAACAATGATTATACACACTGTGAATACACTTCGAATCCTTTCTGATGACATGGCATTGTGTAACGTTTTGCATACAAATGCACCACATGCATATACACATACACATAAACATACACATACACATCAGCACAGTACACACAAAAATATAGCATAATTTAAATGGTTGATAGTTGATTTCCCCACCTGGACACAGCGACATCGGATACAGAACATGATCCCAAACGGTTCTCCCAAATCCGGGTGCCATTCTTCCCTCATGCCGTAATACTTCCCACCAAAGGAGCATCCTGTAGACACAACAATGGAAACCACAACTTTAGGGCCGCTGTCCAGTGTGGCAAAAGTAGTAATTTGTAAGCTTAAACATCCCAAGAAAGTAAGGAGGGATAACACCCATAATATTGGAAAAGTGTCCAAGACAATTGAGAATTTACTTGAGAATTTCCAGTGCTACTGTTAGATATTTTGGTTGCGGAAAGATAGAGTATACCTAGAAAACTATGCATCATCATCTTGTATGTAATATTCTCTTTAGGTCCTGCGATGGGTAGAATTTATATTTACGGCAATTGCAAAGCTGAGAGCCATAAAGTAAAGGAGAGTGATTTTTATGCAATAAACGTGCATGTTTATGAGTCTTCTAGGCTACACAGTGTGTCCCAAACAATAGCTCGATCGTTTACAGACGAGAAGGATTACTGTGTTCAGTAGTGACAAGCGAAAGCGGGCGGAAGTTTCCAACCAGCGGAGTTTGCACAGTCTGGCCGGGCAGGAAAAGTTCTCGGCGCGTCTCGCACGGAGAGTAGCCCTCTCTCCGGGAGGATTGGTTACGACTCGGGCGTCATCTGCCCGCGGGCGCCGAGTACAAGTTTTCTAATTTTGTTGCGCTGGTAAATACCACGATGGTTCGGTCACATTGTCTTGCGTCTCGGGGCGCAATTTTGGCCACGCTTGGCCGGAATAGATAACAATTTCGGCGGAACAGATAATAACAATATCCGGAGATAAACAAGAGAAAGTTATTGTGAAGATGAGACATTTGTCGGGCTCACCTGGTACGGTGTCTTTAGTGCCTTGACCGTCGTCTGAGTTGATCGGGATGAGAGACGAGCTGGCCCGCACGGTCGCGGCGGCCAGCAGCAGACACACGGCAGAACGCGCGAGGAACAACATCGCCGGCAGGACTTCGGAGAATGTTCGCGTCGTCAACTTGAGATGAGTCGTCACGGGGCTAGTGGGGAGCCGCGGAGGGCGAAAATTTACGAGAAACGCCGAGTTGTACCGACCGTGGGTCGTCCAGACCACAAACTGGCTATATCAGCGGCGAGAAGCCCGGGTGTTGTGGTGGTCGCGTCGCCACAGTTGTAGACTGGTGGTGTGAGACAAGACTTTTGTTCTATTCATATTACTAATCAAGACGGACATGTGACCGCCGGACCATGATAGCAGGCGTGCTGTAGACCTGCCCTCCCGCAGTGGGCTTGAATGTCATGGATATGGCCGGCCTTTTTTTCATAGGCAAATCTTGTTTTCTTTGTTCTCTTTGTATTCTTTCGCCATGACTGTTTGCATGTATTTTGCACGCAACACTTTATGCAAGGAGGATTTCCTCAATAACGTCCATCACGCGAGGGTGTCCTACCGCGGTCACACTTCCACAGTTGCCGAGCTGTCACTCGCGCGAAATGAATTCTCAGATACTATTAACCTTCACGGCTAACAGCTGGATGTGTTTGGACAAAGTCGGAGCTGACACTTGGCACCGACTGTAAAAAATTAATCGGGCCACTGCCACGGCCAGCCCCGGCTGGCGGGACGGCGCTGCCCGACTCTTTCAACACGGGGAGATGTAATTTACACATCTCGTTAGTAAGGGAGTCGCTGGCACTCGTGTGCACAATTAGTGGGTACTTGAGAAACGCTAGGAAACCCGGAGAGGTGTAAATTAAAACATTATTTCCCCCCACATACAGCCAAGAGCTGTCTGTATCAATTTTTGAACGATAAAACTAAGGAATAGATGAAACCTGACAAAAGCTTGACGACATTTCAAAGAGTTCTAACATTTCACAAACTCTATATTCTACTTATGCTATTGATTTGCAGTTTTAGAACAACAAACCGACAACATTAACACGGATAAAACGGTGAAAGTTATGACGTGTCCTTGGTTTTGTGTACTTTGCTGGAGCTCAATGCAGTACTATAAGGCGAACATAAAACTAAATTGTCCCTTTTCACAGTCTACAGACTTAACTAACAGCCATTGTTTATTTTCACGTGTCAACAGAACACCGCAGGATCCCAGTACACATCAATGTTATAGTCTGCCGTGACAATACACACATCATCTGACCGCCCAACTCTCTCAATACACTTCACATCAAGCCTTTATTCCGCCGGGAAGGTGTCAAATCCGATAATTGGTCTCTTCTTAGTTACTTCTGATTCATCGTGCAAATAATTTCACACCCCATTGGGCATCAATAGGGAATCACTTACCGTGTGGAGGGAAGCGCTTGTGTGAAGGATAAGTCAGTTTTAATAAACTTTGGAATAAGCTACCTCGTGGTTGCTTCCCCTATGAGTATAACCTTAAACTCTTCAAGTCTAAGGTAAACAAACATCTGTCCACTCTGACTGTTCTGTAACCCAAAACATTTTAAGTGGCTCCCATGAGCCTTGTTTTGTGGTGACCGATGAAGTAAATAAAAAAACAAACAAACAAAAAAAACAACAACATCCACACAGGCGTCGGATCGGTTGTTTGTGAAAGTGAAATACGCAATAGTACATTTGTACTAAAACTTTTCTTTCGACCCTTCACATGTGTAGTACTCCCTGATGTTTGTAAGCCTAGCAGGACTTTTATGACACGGAACACATTAAAATCATCTGTAGCCTGCATAAATTTGCTCAAATGCACGGAGGTGCTGCACAGTAACACTACAGTAGATGTATTGAAAACAGTACGTATACTCTTTAGGGCATACACCAATATTAAAGCACACCATTGTATTCTAATACCAATAAGCAGTTAATCAATATAAGGTATAAAACAGATATTATATATATATAGTTTTTTTTTAGATCTAGTAACTTTTGCACCGCCACATTTGCATATTTTAAACCAGGATACAAGTCCATTTAGCCAGTCATTCATTCAAACGAAATCTATTCTACAACTTAAAAGTATGTGATGATAATACTTACATGTACCAAGACGATTTATAGAATATAATTGGATGGCTATATCATATCTCTAGCTGTATGCTTCTGTGCACGTATTGACTGCAACCATGTTTCAAAGTCTACAGTACTTGACGACGAGGCCACCTAGCGAGTAATTCTGTCACGACATGGTTTCACCCACAGATGTAGTTCTGTACTGACCTAAACGATTTATCGCACTGTCGGCAATATTCTAGTGAACGTGGTAGCGACCTTATGGCCTTAGGTAAACAGAGAACCGTGTGTTTGTCGCTGTATCGAGTCATCTGCAGATTGGTTCGATGAACACACCAGTACTTAAAGTAAATCAAATGGTTACTATTGAGCTGATCACCGCCAAAGTTCTGCTAGAATATATAAGTACTGACCATCGATTCTACCCTTGGGTCGGGTGGCGTAGCGGTAGCGTGTTCGGCCCAAGAGGTCCCGGGTTCGAATCCTGCCGGTGCACCGATCTTGTGCCCTTGGGAAAGGCACTTTACACGACTTTCCTCACTTCACTCAGGTGTAAATGAGTACCTAGCTTCGGTTAGGGACGTCCCTCTGATAGAACGTTAAATAGAGATCCCGTATTTGAGAGAGCACGAGTCACACCCTACGCACGTTAAAGAACCCACCACACCTCGTCGAAAAGAGTAGGGGACCTTCCCGGTGTGAGTGGTTCAAACCTTACAGTCTGGTCTCAGGTTTGACATCTTTTTGAAGAGGTGGTAGTCAGCTGTTATGTCAATCCTTTCACAAATGTGGTAAATCTTCATAAAATAAAAAATAAAATAAAAATACCCTAGATGTTGACGCTTTGGGCTAATTGCATTCCCTAATCCGAATTCCGGGTACAAAACGGATGGCTTCCAGGCTAACATTCAGGTAAGGAAATAGGAAATTTTCACTGGTTCAACGTTTGGGAACTTAACTTAAGATGAAGTTATACTTTGTTGTTGTTGCTACATTGTACTGTATTAAGAAAAAAACACAGATTACCACTTCTGCCTTGTATTGTTTATTACTGTTCCACACATTGTTACATTAGGATGCCCGGAAAATAAATTCACTGTTCACAAATTTCGCAATTTCAATCCCGGAGACTAACTTTAAAATCTACCACGTCATTTCTTTTTGCTTGCCAAGTAACGAGTAGAAAATTAAAGTTTTATTACACGTACTTTATTTCCTTCCGATAATTGTCGACAACTATTTACATTTCTTTCAGTTTGAAGTTACAGAAATACACCTTACGACACGTATATGATGATTATTTCTGAAACAGTGACTGGTTTGTTGGATGTTACTCCGGTACCAGTAAGGCCACACTGATTTAATTGCATGGATGACACCCATGCGCGCATTGACTTTCTGAGAAAAAAAAACCCTCCTCTGAGGCTCTAGCCTGGGTGACATCCTCAGTAGTCCATGGTAGCTACCGACAATACAGTGCCGACTCAAATGCCGCAAAAGGCCAGCATGTGCCGGCTTGTCTAGTCATGTAGTCATGTATAACTACCGCAAATACACAATACCAGCTTTGTATTCCTGTGATAGCATTTGTTTTAGCTGGATTTTTTTTTTATTCGCCCGCGCGCACTTGTTTGGGGGTATTCTGGGGATGTCATCCATAAAATTAAGGCAGTGTGGCCTAAGGTGCCCTCTGTTAGGTATCCTACACCGCGGACAGGTGGGTACAGAACCGCACGTATAACTCGGAGTACGGAGGAATAACGTTCGTAAAGATTTTCACGTGAGTTATCGTACTTCCCCGTCCGAGAGGGTTCTGTTGGTCGCCTTAGGAGACAGAACTGTCCGGATGACACCGGTCTGCCTAAACACCTTCAGATGACAGGCTTCTTGATCATCACTGTCACGTCAGATGACGTTAAGGGCGAGTCTTCTCCTAATGATTGTACAGAGATAGAGAATGTCATGTTTGAAAATCATTTTCTTTTAAATTTCTTGATACGGACTAATTCAAGCAGATGTTGGCTGCCGCTTGTTTTGCGCGTTTCTTTGTTTGTTTTTTGTATTTTTTGGAATGCAGTTTTTGTGCTTTATAAAGCCCGTGTCATCACACATTCAGAACATTCCTGCGAAGGAACCTGCACATGAAGTTAGGGAGCAGTCTGATCAGATTTGGGCCACGCCTACCTTTTTATACGAATCGCATCAAATTTGAGTCAAATTTGACAACCATACACGCCCGGAGAATAGAGCTAACATCTGCTTGGATATCAGAAGTCGCGGCTAATCGCGTGTAGTATATACGGGCTTGTTCCGTTCGGACTAATGAAATATCGGATTGCCGCGATGGACCAGCTGTAGTGCATGCAGTAAACGTTTATAGAACAGTAAACATATGTTCTACTTGCTTCACAAATTTGATGAACGCAATATGGAACGCTATCAATAACACACACACACGATAGGTAATAACGGCAGTACACATTGATCCATGCGTCACCAAAACAGGGTTCACCAAAACAGACACGTCACAGTCCACAAACTGACCACAAAAGCTGTGACGTCACTAGTAGCCATCTTGTGGAAGGGCCTCAGAACCTGGTAGTCCTGATCAGCGTATCCTTTTCGTTTTCCACGATCGTGATGGTTTTGAATTCGCTGATTTCTTTAGGAGTGGGTGGTCGCGGGCTTATGTCTCGAGGCTGTAAACTTCTGATGGCGTCCCACTGTCTCAGAAACAACACGATGACAGAGGCCCACACCACCAGCACCAGGGCTATGATCACCCATTCTTCGATGGTAAAGTTCTGCGCTTGCTTGTCGGGAGTGACGTCTTGGCAGTCCTCCTTCGGCAAGGCAGAGTCACCTGCAGGGGAAAGACCAGGAGACTGAAATGGTTCTGTGGTGTTGTTTTGATAACCATGTAACTGATTTAGATTTAGAGTTAGATGTTTAAGGGGTAGGTGTAACAAGTCGTTCGGTGTAATGTAGCCAGCTGCCCCCGCGCCGCGTGCCTGGGAAGCTATCGGCTATATAGACACAGATACAGGTTACGAGGCTTCGATATGAACACTGATAGATTATATATATGCACAAGTCTTAGCAAAGGCGTACACAGACACGAGGAAATGAAAACATGAAACTTTACATGGAGCAAGATATTGCGACGATTATTGCACATTGGACCTCAAAGAGGTTCAATCCCAGAACCCCCTATCTTGGACAAAATCATGGAGAGATCCAAGATGGCGGTCGTCGTGCAGTAGGTGGATTTTCTGCGCTCAGACCCTTTGCTTACGATCCGTTTATTTGACGCTTACCGACGTTTAAAGACCCTGTCAATGTCCCTAGACGGATGGTTAATGGTTAAGACACGGTCTAAAAAACGTCAACGTCGCTCAGGGTCCGGTAGTGACGATTTGAACAGTTCTACACGTTTGACCGGAGAAGACGCTATGGCGGACAAGCTTCTAGACGAGTTAACAGCCACAATCGAAGCCGCGCTTCAACCCGTTCACGAAAAGCTGAATGACATGGCTACAGCGAGAGACGTACAGTCTCTACGGGAAGATGTGGAACGGGTGCTACAGCGACAGGGAGTACTGGAGTCCAGGATAGAACAAGTTGAAGAG